GTGTGTGTGTGTGTGTGTGTGTGTGTGTGTGTGTGTGTGTGATTGCTCTGGGTGTTTGACTGGACAGCAGCCAAAACATAGAGAAAAAAAACCTCCCACACACAAAAAGCCCACTTTGTTAAAACAAGTATGAATTTATTCTTTTCAAGAACATATTCTTCTTTGTATACAGTAAAAATAAATAACAAATAAGCTGTTCTATAATATAATAATTACTATTTCTCTCTCAGATACAAAATATTGGACATGCAGATTGACAAACAGGACATGTAAACTGTGGGGGGTATATGGCGGGATGGTATAACTGGCACTTTGGTCGTCTGAAAGTGACCTCGCCGTCACTGAAGAGCACCCGGGCTCAGTTTGACCTCCTCCAGGAGTCTTGTTAAGAGACTAAACAACAAGATGGCACTGAATATTTCCCTTCATCATGAAACCTTCAAAGGTTTTTTATTTTTTTTCCTCTGGATTTAAAATAAAAACTAACAGAGGCTGAATGATTGTATCTGCAAGGGTTTTTCRATTCCCTCCCACTGTTTCACCCCCACCATCACCTCCATTAAAGAATCCTTTCTGTGCCTTTGAGTTTCAGGRAAGTGGTACATTTCCCTGTTAAACTGCTTCTCCTCCTGACTCTGACTTTGTGCATCCTGAGCTTTACCAACTCCCTGCCAAGCTGACTTCAGACCACCACTCTGTTYACCCCCATCAGCCTGCGTGTTGGTCTCAATCTAACTTCTTCTCCCTTTTGGCTCCAGCTCCTCTCACTGCTCTCTTGGTTTATTCACAAAGCRTCCAATTTACACCTCGCCTGTCCATTTGGCATTGCTCGTTGGTGAGTCAGAGAAGTGATAAACCTGGTGACGTATTTGCCTTTTGCAGCGTTGCCAGCTTGTGAATCTGTTCATCRTCTTGTATACACACACAGATGCCCATCAGAGCCACTCAGTGTGACCGTGTGGTCAGTCCTTTAAGTCCACCGACTTTTTTTGTCACACTTTTGTCACCAAGCAGCAATCTGCTGCCTTTTTTGTGAAATTGTGTAATCAGTTTTCACTTCTTGTTGTCGTAATTTACTTTCAACACCCCTTAATTTTTTCCCWGTCAAAACAAATTCATCAAACAGTGTTTCCAAAAAGAAGCATGATRCAGAAAATATTCAGTGTATCTTTTTTTATCAAGATCTTCATTGGCATTCAAGTCAACAATCATTAACACATTATATCTATATGTCACAGAAAGACATCCAAAAGCAAAATCTCAGGCTTCCTGACAGGAAGCATTGTTTCCATGTGGTTGTTGCAAAACAACAAAGTATTTACAGAAAATGTAAGATGAGTAGAACTACTGATGAGTGGGTTTGTTGCTGATCTCCTGCAGGTTGCTGCTTCTACTGCCAACACTGTTCACTTACTTCCTGCTCCTTCCTTGTTTTATTCCTTATTGCTGCACCGACTCTAACCCCTCCTATTTCCTTTTCCCCAAACTGGAGCTTTAAAAAAATAAACATCTCTCCTGTCATTTAACTTGTCGCTCCTCCCTCCCTTTTTTCACAGTATGTTTTTTCCTCCTCCCTGTGCATAGTGCTCTGTCACGTAGAGGCACAAGCCTTCACAGTTTTCCTGGAGTCTAATGAAAGTGATTGTGCTTGACCACAGATATCAGTTTGAACACCCACAGAATACACACCTATATACATGACACTTTAAGTGGTTACAGTATTGTAATTACTGTAAACTGGTTCTAACAGTAATTGTAGCATTTGTYGCACCCAGTAGACTGGAAGCAATCCTAGCACTGGCAGTACTGACTAAGTTGAGGTGACAGAATTGACAACATCATTCACAACTCTTATCAAATGGCGTTCTTGTTGGCGGTGGACTCAGCCCTCATAGCCCTGATTGCAGGGAATCGTCGCGTACAGGTAAGACACAGAAAGTCATGCCTGTAGAGCATCGTAGAGAATTATGATCGTGGCTGAAAAAACTCTTAGCAGCCCTGAAAAAGAGTTAAGCCCTATAGGTGGTAGATTCAGAATCTGACCATCCCCCCCATCTCCCGTGCTGTTCTTCGAAGATTCGTTCACAGCAAAGTGGGCAAAGGGGTGTAGAGAGTCTAACAGGGGTCCCTCGGCCTTTAAAACAGGCTGGAAGGGAAGGGATGTGGCTCTAAGAGTCAAATTCAGCCAAAGACTAAATAAAGGTTGAGGCAGAAGGTGAAAACAGAAAKGGATAGTAGCGAAAGTAGGGAGGGTGATGAGGATCTGGGAGAGGAGGAAGAGGGAGTCAGGTCGAACTCAGGTGGACATTCGAGCTCGAAGCACCGCAGAGTGACGCCTGARTCCTCATTGCCGTAGTTTGCCCAGTACTCTTCTGGGTCGAGTTTGGGCAGCGCCAGCTCCTCCTCTCCCAGCTCGTATTTGACCRCCGAGGTGGTCGACGATGGGCCTTTCCCGTGCAGACCAGCCTTGATGGTCTCTGAGGCCTTCTCGAAGATGCCTTTTGTAGAGGACTGGGGCTTGTTCTTGTGGAACCACCAGCGGGTTTTGGTGCTGAATGTGGTGGTGGTGGAGCCGGCGATGGAGCCCGGATCGGGCAGGGGACAGAGGGCGAAGTCCATCTCACGGAGGAAGCGAAGGTCCTGACCACGGCGGGTTGAAGGGGAGGCGCAGATCACCTCAGACGAGGAGACGCGGGCCTCACGGAACCACTCCCACAGGGCACGGGCCTCACARCCGCAGGACCAGGGGTTGGCGTTGAGGCGGAGGAACTCGATGCCCTGYGTGTCCCTCAGGGTCTGGCTGGGCAGCTCGGCCAGGGAGTTGTTGAATAGGAAGAGCATGGTCAGGCGACCGAGGTCACGGAACGCGCGGCGGTTCACCTGCCTGATGCGGTTGTCGTGGAGGAGGAGGCGGTCCAGGTTGACCAAACCACGAAACACGTTCTCTGAGAGGGTCCGGATGCGGTTGCCATGCAGGAACAACTGGCTGAGGTTGATGAGGTCAGAAAAGATGTCATCCTGCAGGAAGTGGAGGTTATTTTCCTGAAAGAGAAAAGARACAGAAAAAGTTTATTATCAGAAAATCAAYTATTCTGCTTTTGATGTGTCATCTCTGTAACTGGACATGTGATGCTGTGTGAAAGAACAAATGTGTGTGGTTCTGATTTTGTGTCAGTTCTCTGTATTCTGCGCCCCCTACCTGCAGGTAGAGGAACTGCAGGCTGTATAGCTTGTGGAAGATGTCATGAGGCAGGGCAGTGAGCCGGCAGCGGTGCATGTGGAGGCTCTGGAGCTTCTCAAGCCCACGGAAAGCTCCTCCTTCCAGCCTATGAAGGTTGGGGTTGTCCCCCAGGTCCAACTCCTCCAAGTCCCTGAGCTCACTGAAAGCCCCTGCTTCAATCCAAGTGATGTTGTTGGAGAAAAGCCACAGAACCTGCAGAGAATCATATACCCAGACATTTAAAGTCAGAACTACTTTATTCTGGAAAAAAAATCAAATGAATGTTTTTTTAACTCATTCTCACCTGAGTTCCGAAGCCGAAAGAGCCAACTCTGAGCTCCATGATCCGGTTGTTCTGGAGGAAAACGCGCTGAGACTCATACGGCACTCCGACGGGGACGGCGGTGAAGTTCTGCGCCTGGCAGCTCACAGTCATGGGCGTCGGGTAGCACACGCAKTGGTGTGGACACGCCGATGCCGGACTTGGCTTGCCGAGGACCAGCCAGACCACCAGCCAGAGGGAGAGACCGCCTGGAGAAGTGACGAGACAAGGAAGGAGGTGAGAGAACTGTCCGTGGTGCTGAACGCGTCCAGACATCTATTCGCTCATTTTGTACTATTTCTTATGCTCATAATGAATCTCTGATAAACATACATTTCAACTGCAGCTATAACTCTTAAAAATAGCAATAAATTCAAGCTTTAACTGTCTTTTATGGCTGAAGTTTATGTTTCAGCCGTGCGTCTTTACGCACAGCTTAATCACAAACAGCTGAGTCAAAACACAGAAATAAATTCTCAAATTTCACCAGAATATTGTTTCAAATCCACTTAAAACGCGTTATCATTCATAAATCATAAACTATTCAAGTATCTAATGTTTCCTTCAGCGTTCTCCATCCAAATGCATCTATTTTAATGCTTGTAAATCTGATCAAAGTTCTTCCAATGGATTAAAAAAAACTAACAAATGTTGCACAAGCTCTATCCCAAAGCAGAAACACTGTTTGTAAGAATCCATGATGCAGTATCCAAAACCAAAGAAGACGGGAAATCAACTTACTTTTGCAGTTGCGCATGATGGAGCTTCGTCGGCTCCGAGAAAGAGAAGGGTTGTCCATCCTGAACCAAAGCCCAAAGCGAGTTAGCCTGAAAGGGCGAAGTAAAGCCTGCTATCTCCGCTGATGCCCTGGTTCCCGAGTCGGAGCGACTGAGAGTGTGCCGGCTGATGGCAACCTGGGCCCCATATATACTCCAGCATGTCGTCGTTGCCTACGGCAGTGGGCACCGCGGAATCTCCTACGTCACAGGCCGGGGTCATGAATGAATGAGGGCGGCAAAAGAAACGGAAAGGGGAGGGGCCGACCGCAGGGGATTCTCTTGGAGAGCGTTCTACGCGCGTAAAGGCTGGTTGGAGACGTGCGCTCAGACTCTGAGAGAGGAGGAGACTTTTTTCTCGACGCACATTGAATCTGAAGGGAGGGAGGGAGGCGGGAGCGAGCTGAGGCACGGTGCCCGGTAATGATGACTGAGTTCTGTGGAGGAGCGGAGGACGGGTGGGAGAGGCTCGCTTCCTGGCTGGACTTCTCAGAGACTGTTATGGTTCGTTTCCGGCGCGCTGCCGGCAGACAGATACAGAAAAGAGTCTTGAATGGTTCTGTTAGGAAAAAAGGGTGCCCCCGAAATATGATTCAGCCACAAAAGGAGAAATCAGTCACTCAAAGCAACTGTGATTGAGTTGCTGTGGAGGATAATTAGACATGCGCAGTCAGGATGTTTGTATTTTAATTATAGCCTCTGATAGAAATATTGATGATGAAGATATGAAATGACAACTAACTAAACAAGGAAAGAGTGGACACTTACTTGGTTTTTAATTATGTGAAGGCAAAAGTACTGGAATGTGTACAGATGCAGGTAAATTACCTTTTTGTTAAAAGAAGGAAAAAACAAAAATCATAATAACTGGGGATCAGTCACTGATTTTGACTTCTGGTTCAACAAAATGGATTTAGAAATCAAACTAATGAAGACTGGCGTTGACATAAATGATGAGGCATCATGTTTTGTTGCACAACCTTCAGGTGATTTCTGTAACCATGTGATGAACAAACTGCTCCACYTGTCTCAGGTTTAAGTTCCTTCTCCAGATGTTTCAGCTCCTTCCACAGATGTGCAACAGGATTTAGATCAGGGCTCAGGAGGCCGCTCCAGAACAGCCCAAAGTTTGGTTCTTAAGCATTCTTGTGTGTTTTGGGTCATTGTTGCTGTAGCAAGCCCTGAATGAGCAGAAAGACAAACAATGTGGTTGGATGATCTGAAACTAGCAGAGCTGAAACAGTCTGGAGAAGATGTCCTTCAAACCTGACACAGCCGGATCATTTTACTGACCGGGGCTGAGTCAGAACTGTGGAAAYGAGCAGAAGACTCACAACTAATTGCCTCAAAAGTTGAGCAACAAAATAKTAAGTAAAGGATCATTTTAGTCRAGATCAGTTTGTTTCATTATTTTGAACCAAAGTTATGAAGTAAACGTTATTTTCAATCATTTTGTCTTCTCAGTACTTAWCAATTTCAAGTTATTTCAATGACTTTCATAAGTTTTTCTTTCTTTAAACATATTCACCAGCTTCTAATGTGCATTAAATGTAACTYGTTTTTATCACTGTTTAAAATATTGTTAAATGAAGAGGATTTGATGGGTGACGAGCTCAGAGAGTTAAAGAACAAAAAACACAACAGATGCCTTCGTGTGGACGCCACTTCAAGTCTGTCTGCGCCTCAAGCTGTCGTTGTGTCTGATGGCATCACATGCAGCTATAGTGTCAGAAAAAACTCTTTTAATCATTTTTTATAAATGTCCAAATGACAAAGATGGAGAGGAGGTGTTGTGATGCAAAACATTGAGAATGAATGCTTTTTATTTGTATTGCAAACTTGATGTTTGTTAGAAAAATAACTATTTGTCTTGTTTTCAGTGCTCGAATGATTTTTGTTGATTTAATAAAAGGTCATATAAGATAAAAGCAAATGGTTGGTTTCATTTTATACAAAAGGAAAATGGAAATAACATACTTTGCTAAATCTTTAGAGACTGTTTCTCAAATAAAGAGCACATACTGTATTTCAGGGCAGTTTTGAATGCACTGATTTTTTTTAAGTCTGTGCTGATATCTTATTGGATCAATCCCAAAATCCTCAGCTTTTTGCTTTTTCAGACTGTGTATTAGAAATAGTTTGTCTTTATTTTTAGCTCTAGCACTATCACTAAATGTTATTTCTCAGGGTTTCCCAGGATATTATTGAACACATCTTTTTTTCCTGTCAATAAAATGGCCCCCATGCGACTGCCTGCTGCAATGAACAAAACAGACTCCTCCCTCACGTTTCACTGTAAATGTAAATAATTTTATTTATTCTAAACATTATATCAACTCAAATGTTATCAATAAAATCAACTATCCGTGTTTTTTTTTTTCAAAATGTATAATTAATGATGTTTGAAAACAAAGCTGTGCTAAATTTGGGACATGAAAACAGCCTTTTTGGTTGATTTACATAAAAGTCTAGAATACTGTAAATCATTTGTTTGGAGTCTGGTTACCAATCCTGCAGCACCACTTATTTGTGATCAAATGAGAAAATGAAGAAGAGCCTATCCTTTCATTACACTCTTCTGCTTTGGGACAATCAGTTATTTTAACATCAGGAGTCATGAAGCTGCAGAGAAAACTCAGTCTAACTGCTGCAGTGTTTTCACCATCAACCCTTCTGAAGTGCTCACAACTCCTAATGAGCTATGTTTAAAAATAAGCACTCATCTCGTGTGGTGTTCAGTTTTTCATGCTTTTCATTCTAAAATAGTTCAAAAAGAATACATTAAATTAAAAGTAATTTTCTTAGATGTTGAAACAAAATTTTCTTCATTACTTCAGGAGCTTCTCTCCTGAAATATTCAGCATATCGATTGAAACTTCTRCACGGAGTGATGAGATTCTTCCAAATGAAAGGATGGCGCGTCTTTTCTTCTCAACCCTGGTCAATGAATAAATAAGTGTGCAGAAGGAGAACGAACTTGAACTTTTGTTGTGCAGTTTTTGAAAYGAGGTCTGGTTGCGTAAAATCATGAAAGCTTTGAAACTGTTGCAAAACAAACAAACGTTCACACAATCTGCAGCCGTAAGAGACGCAGTGGAGTAGGTCAGAGCCAGCCTTGGAAAATATTTTCAGCTCGTCTGACATTCAGCTATAAAATCTGCTCAGACAGGGAGGTGATGCAGACGACAGATCTGYTGCAGACCAAAACAAACAAATTTTCACATTACAGCAGCTCAAAACAGGACAKGGTGAGACAGAATAAAGAAAGATAAGTAAAAGAAAAACAAAAAAACACTATACTCGTGACATTCAACAATGTACAAAGACCTAGTACAGTACATAAATGAATGTACATAAAGGTGCATATTAGTGATGGCAGTGTAGGTGAATTGTCCAAGTGACTGATCACATCATGATGTGTTATACAGTCTAACTGCAGTTGGAATGAATGACCTACGGACTAAATGGACTAAGTAAATAAATACTATTAAAATGCACCAATTGAATTTTAAAAAGGAGAACTTTACCTCACATTTTATAATTTACTGACCTTCATTTTTATTTTTCCAGCTTAGTTCCAATAAATTATATATTTTAGCACGTGTGCTCCTTTTTTTAGTGCATTTAAAGC